ACCAAATTTCTCTGTGACGGACTGACACTTCGAGATGATTTCCATCGCTGGAGTTGCTATTGTAGACTGAGCTTCACTATTTCTGAAAGACAGTATAACTCACTGTATTGCTGTAAGAGTTTCAAGGAAGAAAGGTAATCAGCGTTGTCAGATCAGAAATTGAGAATTAAATGAAATTAGGATCACGAAAAGAGACATTTTAGCGACCTCACGGAGAAAAGATTTAGGCGGCCAAGACCAGATTGCGGAAAGCACTGATGTCAGACATTCTACAGGTACGCAGACAAGACTCTGAAGCCATTCACGTTTGTAAGTGTACTCGAAACAACGTTTTAATCATTTCCTAAGTTTTGATGAGTAGCCTGATTAAATGTTACACTTATTTTACGACTATAATTTGCTTACGTTATTTACAGTTAGCTCTCTGGAGCAAACCAGTTCATGATGTACTAAAGTACTATGATGTTCTGTCTCTCAACGTTATTACTCATGTTAGCGTTGCCTGTGATAAATGAAAAAGGTCTATGGACGTAATTTCTTTCTATAAATAAAGAACAAGGAACACGAAATGCAAGCGGCAAGTGTTTGATTGACTTCCGTTTTCTCTTTGGCTTCGTCCAGCTTCGTAGCATATACATCTAATTGTGTTTTTTAGTCTGCTAAGTCCCTATGATTTGCCACTTGTTTCTCCTAACGCAACGGCTGAAACTTCTTTCAAATGAGAGCCTAAACTTCTAAATTCGGCAAAGCAGTTTACTTTTAACATAACATGAAACGAAACATGTGCTCTACTTACCACCAACGGCGCAGAACAGCTTCTTTCAGAACTCCTTATTAGTTAATAAATTTATCATATGTCCATTTGCGAGAGTAAACTGGTCTCCAGCTCACTGAGGCGTTTGTTTCAATCGTTTCGATGTTTGATTTTTGTACAGTCATGATAACATTCTGAGACGAAAATTGTAATAAAGTAATGTGCCTCCATGCGAAAAAATATTATAAACGCACTACGACACGAAAGAGTTACATAAAGTTTGACTGCGTATCACTGCTTCATTCTCCGCTTGCATTTTGTGGGACGCTGTCCAAAAGTGAACGAATTCTTTCCCATATCGGACATGATATTGCAAAGCACACTGTTAACATATGTTAAAATTAGTGAACAATACTCTAAAAATAGTTTGACTTCGGACTGATTTATTGAACCCTTCAGGGTCGTGGAAGCAATAATCATTTCCGAGAAACAACTTGTCGTTTCCGGACATGACATCAGAGGGGGTGGCTGCATGGCCATAGAGTTATTGCCTCGTTTCCAACCTGGAGTTTTTCCTTTCTCTTTTGGATATGGCGGAAATGGTGCGGAAAAGGGCTTAGTACAATGCGAGGCTCTCGCATATGTAATTGTTTAGATATTTCTTGATAAAAAATGAGGCCATTGATGACATAATGCTGTCAAAGGAAAGTCCGTTTTAGAGACGATAACATGACTCTTTTGACATCATTTTTGTTGTGCCAGCCCCAAATTGATGACAAGAAATTTTTCTCAAAAGTGAAACGTAAAAAAACCGGGGATAAGTTCCGTCTGGTCAACCGTTCTGTAACACAGCGATATCTCATCTAATCAGAAGACTAATTTCGCTCGACCAAACCTGGGTACTGCTATGCGACATGACGTCATCGAGATAGACCTACCACTCCTTACCAGACCTCACGCGGATAAAGAACCATACAGAGGCAAAAGGGAACATTACGGCTGCTACTAAAGCTGCTTGCAGGCTTGTTCAATACCACTGGAAAGGAAGGATTTCCTTCAGGCTTCATTAAAGGAAAGATAGCCAATTAATGCAAACAGTTTCCTTGTGTTCACTCTCACTTCAATGTGAGGGTGCAGTCGACCGACTATGAAGTAAACGTAACATTGCTCAACGTCCAGCGTAAAGTCGTTTCCAACTCTACCGACACACGACTCTCTTGAACACCTAGTTGAGAGTTTTGGCGACTTCTTCGAATCTAAAATCATTGATATCAGACGTTCTCTCTCTCAACAACCTTCCTCTCGGCCTAAATGTGTGACTAATGTATCGTGCTCTACCTCTTTCAGTCAGTTTGAACACGTCTCTCTTAATAGTCTCAAGACTATCATTCAGTCATCAAAAAGTAAAAGTTGTGCTCTCGATTCAATACATACTTGGTTGTTAAAGGACTGTATTGATGTTGTTGCCCACTCTAACTGATATCATGAACGAGTCTTTGGATCAGCGCATTTTCCCCTCTTTCTTCAAGAAGTCACTAATCTGCCCTCTGATAAAAAAGGACAACCTTGATGCTGATGTCTTTGCCAAATATTCATCCATCTCTACTCTATCTTTTCTCTCTGAGGCATTAGAAAGAACAGTGGCTTTCCAGATTGAGGGATAATTCACCACCAATGGCTTATTTACTAAAATGCAATCAGCATACAGAAAGCATCACAGTACTGAAACTGCCCTTCTACGAGTTGGTAATGATATACCTCTGGCCCCGGTTGTTCGAAGATCGGATAGCGCTATCCATTGGATAAATCTCTATCCGGTGGATAACGCTAAACGTTTTGCTATCACTTATCCGCTGGACAGCGATTTATCCGTTGGATAACGTTATCCACCCTTTATACAACTGGGCCCAGGCCATTGACAACAAATGCGAAGCTGCTCTAGTGTTGTTAGACTTATCTGCGGCTTTTGACACAACAAACCACGCTATCCTTCTCGATAGGATTCGGGAACGCTGTGTTTTTGCAAAACGGTTCTTCGTTGGATTGAATCATACATTAAAGATCTTCCTCAATGCATTGCCCTCGATAAGATTCTTTCTCGACCAAGATACGTCTTGTGGTGTCCGTGAAACTGGGAAAATTCAGAGATTGCAAAATACCGCGACAAGTTTAACTGTGTGCATGAAGAAGACTAATCACATTACTCCTGGCTTCTTGTTAATGACAGAATAATTTTAAGTTACTTTTGATTACGTACAAATCTCTTAATAGCCTTGCCCGGGCCCAGTGTACATTGATGAAGTTTTGCTCTCTACTTAAAGAACTATCTGAAAATACATTGTAACTGTAAAATAAAACTAATTAAACAAGAGGCCAACATACAAGAGACAGGAGAGTTATTGAAGGCAGCGAAAATTACCACAAATTGCAAATAACAGAAATTTAAAAATTATGACAAATCTTTGAGCGAATGATGGGCAAACTTAACATTCAAATGTTGTAGAACATGTCCAGGATTGACCACCGATGAGATTTATTTTCTGCACAAAAGACATCAAAAAGTGTCCTCATGACTAAACTTCTAGCGAAACATATATAATTATGTCACAAAGGTGGACATAAGTGGTGTTGTATCCAAAAGCGATCCAGGTTTGAGATCATTGCTGGCAGCATGGTCGGGTAAAGAGCGCGCTGGATCTTAAATCGGGTGATTTAATCAGGTTGGAATCCCGCTCTGAACATCAGCTAAATATCTTTCTTTGTAATTCTTGATGTACTCCTCGGCAACGCTTGTGATGATAATAATAACAATACTAACAACAACAACAAAAAAAAAAAATAATAATAATAATAATAATAATAAAAGTAATAATAATAACAATGATAATTACAAAAATAATAATGTTGATGATGATGATGACACTAAAAACAAAAAATGCCAGCGATGAAATCCTTTAATCAGGTGAAGGAAGTCCTCTTGTTCGTGGTCCACCATCAAATTCTTCGTCATCAGAGATATCTGGTGACTTGAATGACACCCTGCGTCCTAAGGGAGCGTTTATTTTGTGATAGTCGCGATAAATTAGTCCGGATCCTCTTTTTCTGAGTAAGTTCTTCTTCCATTCTGGCATGCCAACCCAACGCTGCTCTTCCTTAAGCCTAAAAAATGTAGAATTGGAAAAC